CTCATGCTGCAGAGGCTGTGGATTGCTTCATAGTGGGATGTTTAACCCCTTGCGCCACCAGGGAAGACCCTAGATAGGAACTTTTGACAGGTAGAAGAGAGGTAGCTGTTTTAGGCCCTCATCTGAATGCATCTGAACAGTTTACAAGGTAATTGTTTACATATTCAGTTTTTAAATACATGCTACCTTCCATTATAAAGGGAGGATTACTCCAAAGGAATAGCCAAGAGTCAGAGAATAGCCTTTGGAAACTTGTTGGAAGGTGATAAAATCTAATCAGGAATTCACAGTATTTGACTAACAGGATTAAGGAGTTTCCTGCCAGGGACTATTCTGTTCCTGTTTTTGAACATAACATCCACACTTGTTGCCCTGTTCTCTCCCACCATAATTTATTCAGCATATTGTGACCAGATAATTTGTCCTACTTATTCTTCAGGTCCAATAATAAGAAATTAGTGTGCCCCACTTTGCACACTAACGATATACTCTTCAGAGCCTCATCTGCATGAGAGCCTTATTTAGATGATGACATTTAGATTTTCAATTGTTGTTATAGTAGATTCAGACTTTTGGGGATTTGAGAAGAAAGTCATTGTATTTTGTTTGGATAAGGAAGAAACTTGAACCATTGATTTGTGGTAAACAAAGTCTAATGTAGTCACAGTTATCCCAATTTTTGTGTTCACATCTCTATACAATACTCCTCTGTGTGTGGGCAGGGAATGTGATTGCTTCTAACCACATGAAAATGCCGTAATTGATGATATGTCACCCTCATCATTATGTTACATTATATATCAAAGAAGATGGAACATCGTTTTGTTACAGACACTACATATAGGACTAGTCTATTTAGACAACTTGCTCTCACACTCCTGCTGGCATTGAAGAAATCTGCTCTGAGGAGAACTTTCTTTGGAAAGGGTCATATGGCCCGGAAATGCTTTTAGGAACCTACTTTCAGTAATCCTGCCTTTAAGAACTATTAATACTGATTTTGCAAGAACTGGGAGACTATAATCTCTAAATTCTACAGGCAACATAAGATGGAGTTCTGCCAGTGAATTGACTGACTTTGGCAGTGGATTTTTCTCCAGTTGAGTCTTCAGATTAGAACATAGCTCAGTAAAAGCCTTAATTTCAACCATGAGAGACCCTGAAATAGAGAAGGCCATTGAACTGTGCCTGGACTCTCATAACACACAAGAACTAACAGGTAATGAATTTGTGTGTGTGTTTTAATTTCAAAAGTGGTTTGTTACACAACATTAGAAAACTGATGCATGAAGGATAGCGTATGCTATTTTTCCAGTTATTAACTCTTCCTTTTTTCCTGCCTTATTCCTCTATTTGAAGTTTGAAACCTAAAACAGTCCCCTCATCACAAGTAGCAAGATACTCATGTAATGTTTAAATAACTAGGAGTTGTTCTCTTCCATTATGGATGAGGGCAGCAGTAATGAAGTATGATGAGTACAGGAATATGTGTAACTTATTCTGGCCTCATAAGTCCCTGTGATTGACAATGTGACTATTACTCTAGTGTCTTTCAAACCAGGAGTCTAATTATCATTTAAATGGTGGTAGGTCCTGATACAGGCAATTCTAGGACATCCCATAGTTATTCTGCTGTGGAAATTGCTCAGTGTTCCAGATTTGTGTCATTTCTCGATTCATACTTTCCTTAACCTCAAAAAGTAGCCAAACCTGTTCTTTGCAATTAAATTCTCCAAACCCCAATCAGAGAACTCATAAGAAAACCACTGTGCAGACTCTTCAGGACAGTTTCACTTTAACAAAAAAGGAAAACTCAACAAACTCATCCTGGGAGGAGAATAAGTATGACTGTTCCCAGCAGATCTGGATAACCTAGCACCACTGCATCCAGGTCAGTAATGTCCTCTCAGTTCTCAGTGTATCTGTAATCAACACCATATTCCCTGGTGACTGTTCTCCGATAGAGTACGTTACAGATTGTATTTCTTGAAGAGGCAGAGAGAAACAAGTCAGAATTGAGTATGATGTAGTGGGGGGTGGAGTGAACATATCCTTAGCTTAGATCGATTCTCTCAATCCAGCACCAAGTCCCAGTTTCCACTCTGAAAGTACAGGCCAAAGAACTTTTGAGGAAAGCTATATAGAAAGCTGCTGTTTCTTCTTCTTCCCTGTTCATATCATCTGAAGTCCCTCTGTTACTGACCTGATACCAGTCCCCAGATTTTTGCCTTTCTCTTCCAGATTTATTGATATCCTCAATGACCAATGCTGTTGCTAGTTGAAAGAATATATGAATGTGCTTTACATTTTCTGCTGCTAGGTAATTAGATTATTTTCAGAGCAAAGCGTTTAAGATCTGTCTTTAATTCATCTGAATTTTTTGTGTGTTTATTTTTTAAGGTTTATTTATTTATGCATACAAGAGCTGGGGTACAGGCCAGAGGTGTGGGGGATAGGGGGGTTGAGAGGATTCACCAGAGACAATAGTGGGGAGCAGTATAGGAAGATCCACTGAACTACACTGCTGAGGGGAGCAGCGGGTGAGACAGGAGAGGTCTGCTGTGCCTTGTGGGTCACCTCCCTGGCCGGGGATCGAATTCATGCTGCAGTGGCTGCAGACAGCTTCACAGTGCTGAGACTTAACCCCTTGTGTGTTTAATATGAGAAAGGGTCTCCGTCACATCTTATTTCTAATATGGATACAAAATGGCCCCACTGTCATTTCTCAGTAATAACTGTTCTTTCTTCTTTCTCAGTATTGTCATATTCTTAGTAAATCTGTGGGAATGTATATATAGATCTTTTTGGAACATACTAACCTATTTTTTTAACCTATGCTTGATACCTATCATAAGCTCTTATTTACTGTTATGTTTTAATAGTCCTTCATATCATATCTTCTTTTCTTATCAGAGTATATTATTCTTAATCATTTGCAAGTAAATAAAACTTAAGAATCAGCTTGTCAGAGTTCCCATGCACAGTTTCATATACACAAACATTCACATGCAAAACCCATGGTAACCAGTATATGAAACAGAGCCAAACACCTGTGGACCCTGAAACCTCATCTGACTAAAAATTTGTCTTTCTCCTCTCCTTCAGATCATTCTCAAAAGGATTTTGTATACCAATAGTGTTTACATACATTGTAAAAATTTTAAGAGTATAAGTAATATGCTCTACAGGACCAATCATATGAAGCACATTAGATGGTATCAGCAGAATATTACGGTTTTAAACTGATTTATAGAATAATGTACACATTGATATATCTAAATATTTTAGAAATAATAGAGCGAGAATATAACTTAAAGCTCAAAGAATTGGAAAGTAAAAAGTAATGAAGGTAAATATAAAATTGATGAGTTAGAAAACAATAGACCCAACTCACTAAAACCAATTCCTAGGAAAGAGATATAACAGGTAATTTAATAAGCATTATCAATTTTTAAAGAAACAAATAGAAATGAGTGATATTAGTTTAATAATAATATATAAAATGTAGGCACAGAGGAGATTTAAATATCAGAGGACACTACAAATATGATACAACAATATATCAAGGTAAAAAAAAAAAAAACAGCAGACAAGAAAAGATTTCTACTAAGACAAGAATTTCAGGTTACAAATTCAGCACAAATGATAGAATGAGAGAATTATCATTCTACAGCCCAAAATGGAAAATGATTTGCAGTCATAATAGAATCCCAAAATCAGCAAAAGCAGGACACAGGCATCACATATCCCTTAACAGAACTGCAAAGCAACAACTTTAGAGTGGTCTTGTCAAAGAAGAAACATATTGACCCCCCAAAAAAATTACTATATTAGTTATCAGGCTTCTACTTGTGACTGTTGATCATTGTTACAGTAACTGTAACAGTTCATTGCACTATTTTGTTACTATACTGTAAGGCTAATAATATCTATATAGTCATTTAAACTATCATGCCTTTAAACTGGTAATCCCAAGTGAAATTCTATATTTTAGTGAAATATAAATTGCAAAATAGCCTGATTAGAAAGTAAAAATTCAATCAATGTTGCAACCTGAAATTCTAAGCCAAGACATCTGTACCAGATAAGGTTTAGAGGCCAGTTGTAGCATATAATTAATTAATCAACATCTTATGTAAACTTTTCCATAGCACACAGAAAGATTTAATCTTGCTCCAGATATTTTTCAAAGTTTTTCTTGATTAAAAAAAAGATAGATTAGATGCCAAGAAAAAAATGATTTGAGCCAAGCCAGCCACTTGAAAATGTAGCTAGAGCAAAAAGATAGCAAAATAAATGAGATGCGCAAAAAAGTAAAGAGAGAGAATACTCATCGTCTGCATATGATTTCTGCATATGCAATTTATGATAACTTCAAAAATTCAGGGACTTTCAAAATCATTCATCTGAGTGGCTCCTGTAGAAAGTAAATTTTTCAATATGGAATTTATAAAAGAGCTTGAGTCTGACTGGTGAGTCAAGGAAGATCAACATTAATTTTTCTCTGATAATGCTCCTCTGTCCTGGCCCCAGTCAGCCTTGCACTACAAGTGCACCATTTCACATGAAGGCTGGCATCCAAATTCTTAGGAATTGACTGGGTTGGAGCAAGTGCAGGAAATTTTAAATCAAAGAGAAAGGCACCAAGAGAAGCCCCATGAGTGAGAACTGAGGAAAACAACAGCAAAGAATACGGGGGCTCACACGAGACTAGCCCGCATCTGCTTTCACCCTAAAACCTCAGGCTGGGCTCTCTCGCTGAGGTACCCCTCATCATTCTTCAGGATCCTTAGGACTTAAGAACCTTAGAATGAGATACGCATGTTGACTCAGCGGATGGAGTAATTTAGGACCTGGCAGAGCCAATGTGAGAGGTGTGAGCTGGGACCATCAGTCACTTCCACTCAGAAACAGAGCCGTGTGCAAAGCCCCGCCCCTGCTGTTGACTCCAGGAGACCCCAGGGAGGGTTAACCGGATATCATGCCTCCGACTTCCTGTTTGTCTTTGTGAGGGGAGAGAGGGCTTTCCTCTGAGGTGGGTGTCATCAAATCCACACAGTGAGGAGTCTCAGGTGCTGCCAGAAGTCAGGTAAGCCTCTAAATGAGAACTGAGGAGAACTTTTACTACAGAAAAAGAGTCCATCTAATTGATACAAGCGCCAATCCACGGCTGGAAGGCGCCAGTCAGAAAGGACAGTAGTCAGACTGGCCGATGACACACTTCTTCTGATTGAGGTGAAGATTGGGGACATGGGGATGCCTAAGAGACTACAGAACTGGCAGTAGTTACTAAAAGGTCACTTAGTACTAAGGGAACACCCAAACCAGGTCAGGGCTGGACCCACTGAGTACTAGCCTGTTAGTCATCCCTGAGAAGACCTAGCGATTGTGTAGGCAAATGTGTAATGTCGGTTACGGAAACGGCTGCAGGAGTCTGAGGGAAATGAAACCTTAGGCTCAGGTAGCCATGTTATGTCAGCAAAAGAAGACCTCTTGGACCCTATAGGAGTCCTTTTGAGAACCCTGAGTAAATTCTTAAGTGTTCCACACTATCTGCCTGCCCTCCCCCAACCCCCTCTCCTTCCGCTCCCGCTCCCCGACTCCCTTCCCCCACCCCTCACCCCCACCTTTCCGCCCCCCCCCCCCCCCCGTACAGGATCTAGTTGTTTTTTTCAGCCCCAGACGACCAGTGCATAGAATGCCTCCTCGGTTCTCTTTTTGGTCTCTCAGAGATACTCCTTCATTGGAAACTGGGGCCTAAGTTAATAGATGGGAGTTGGCATATTACCAACCAATATCCAATTTGAGGAGTCATAAGTTTTGTGGGACAACCAACTGATGACATAGAGGGCGCCACAGAGCCCTTCCCTTGTCATCAGCCCTGAGATGGCCAGAGAAGAGTTTATAGGCAGAGAAGGCACCTCATGTCCTCCAGGGGTACAGGAAGGTAAATGCTTCTTTCTAAAGAAGATATGTTAAGTCACCAGAAGGAGTCCCAGGTGTTGTTAGTTATATGTGAAGGACAAACTAATCACATAAAAAGTGGGTCCACAGATAATAGGGAACTATTAGGAAATCCCAAACAGAGTTAGCCAGATGAGACACCCAGTCATTTCTCCCTGGTATCCATTGGCATGTGAGGTTTTAGGGTAGAAAGCAAGCTCAGGTGGAAGGATTAAATCCTAGATTATGCCAGGCTGCATTGTGAAGATTGCAGAAAAATACCAATGAACCATACATTCCAAAGGGTCACCTTGAAGCTTTTCTATCACCCCTTTTTCCCATTTAAAAAGTTTTTTTTTTTTTAATTTAAATAACAGTGTTTTATATCCATATAGATTTCAAGTGTAGAGTATTATAATTTGGCACCTGCATGTTATTTTATGATTACACTGAAGTTTTATGCCCATTTACCACCATAAAATTGACCCCCTTTACCTGATTTACCCACACTCAGATCCCCTTTTTGGTGGGGGATGGGAGGACGGTAACCAACAGTTTGTTCCTTTCATCTAGGAGATTGTGTTTCCTTTGCTTGTTTCTTCATTCGTTTTGTTTCTTTACATCCACATATGAATGAAATCATACAGTGTCTTTCTCCATCCAACTTTTTTCACTTAGCATAATACCCTCCAGCTCGATCCATGTTATAGCAAATGGCAAGATTCCATCCATTTTAAACCAGGCCCCAGTTCCTACCATCGATTATGGGAAGGAGCCTATCTAAATGAAGCTAATGGGGACACTCAGTCTAGGACAGAATGATCTCAACAGAGCCCCATCCTGCTGTCACAATTAGGAAATAGGAAATTCAGGATATATCACCTGAATAGTTATCCTCAGTGCTCAGAGAGACATATGTCAGTAGTATGAGGGAGCACATCAGATCAGCAGAGGGGAAGAGTCTCATAAACTGTCAAGATTAAGGGTTTTGACCTTGACTGAACAGAGCTGACCATCCACTTGATGGGACGCCATGATACCTGCCCTGTCTTTGTATTCATGCCCTGGAAGATCCCAAACGAGAATGGCCAGGCATCTCACCAAATTAATTCATACACTGTGATTATAGTGAGGCAGCAATCTTGGTCTGAAAGAGACAGGTACTGATTCACAGCCGATAGGGTGACCCGGCAGTGCTGCAGTCTACATGGAGACACCAGGTAGAAATACAAGTGACCTACCCCTGAACATGGAATCATCAAAGAAGCACAAAACTATTATAGCCAGAAATCCTGGGTCAGGGATCCCACAACAGGTCATCAACTCTTCTCCTTCTTGGGTATTTCAGTAGCTTAGGTCCTTGCTGTATGTGCCTGTAATGCATGCGGTCAGCAAAGGTCGTAGTTCTATGCCTGTCAATAATAATAGTAGGGACTCTGAGTGGGGTCAAAGTGTCCCACCCACACCAGAACTAAGGGATATCCAGTGTCTGGCTCCTACTATAAGCCAGGGAAGCATCAGTAAAGATGGGTAATGTCCTTCCTTGCTTCCTTCACAGGTGACTCAGGAAAATAAGGTAGTCTTGTACAGAAAGGGATTGGCCTGAAAAATTAGAGTGGTTAGTCCTGAGACCCCCACCAGTAGCCAAGGCAAGGGCCCTCACTGAGTACTGAGGGACAATCTTCCCAGAAGTATATGGGTCAGGAGTCTAGCTGCGAACTGTTTTCAGTGCTGAGGTAAGATGTCAAGTTGTTATATCCTTAATTACCCTTCCAGACTGAGAGGTGGAGGCTTAGTTTTGAGGGGTAGTGTTAAGTCAGCAAAAGAAGAGACCCCAGGACTTGACTGAATTCAAAGAAAGGCAACTAACTGAGAATTGTGGGGATCCCCAATGCCAGAAGGCAGATTGTACACAACATCTTCCTCCTGTTGCCGGTTCTGGGAAACCCCAGGAATTGTTTCTGGAGGTGGTCCCTCTATATTTGCTGCTCAGCTGTCTTAGGAGATGTGACATTGGTCTTAACACAGGGCTTAACCTAGGTTTATCCAATACCAAAATAATGAACTTGAATGAGGACTATGGTACTTTACTCATCAAAACAGAAATCACTTTATAGATTCCAATCACATCGGCCTCTTGAGATCCCTGAGAATAATCATCCTGGGTTGGTTGGCTCCATCCAAGGAGTAATCAAACATTTTCCTTCATATTCTTGGAAGACATAGTTGCCAAGAAGTCAGGAAACCTGTGAGGCCCTAAAGCACTATTTTCCGGAAGAAAACAAACAAACAGAAACCATTGGCTGCTGCTTTTATCAGTTTGCCACAGTTAATTTTATAGCTCAGACCACTTACATCTGTCTTTTTTCCCTTAAGCACTGATTCCCCATTGCCAGCCCTACTGACCACACTCCTGCCTACTGAGTCATCACTAGAGTTGTGATGTCTAAGCTTCAGAAGAGCTCACGATGCTCACAGGCTCAACACCTTCAGACCCACAGTAAGGTCCAAAGCCTGGAGATTGCACAGGTCTCCAAGGCCCTGCAGGAGACCTCCTTCTCCTCCCATCCTCTAATGCCTGCTAGTTGGAAGGAAACTCCTGATGCTGGTATGGCCAGTATTCCTGAGGGTCCTCAGAGTGTCTGTTTCTCTGGCACTGCCTCCATGGTCACCTCATCAAACAAGTCGGAGGAGGGCTTCACTAGCCAAGAAGAGTATGTAAGCACCTCACAGGCTGAGCCAGCCCCTCAGAATGTGCCCATAGATGCTCTTGAGGAGAAAGTGGCAATGCTGGTGAATTTCATGCTGTTCAAGTATCAAATGAAAGAGTCAATAACCAAGGAAGAAATTTTGAAGATGGTCATCAAGGGATATGAAAACCGCTTCACTGAGATCCTGCTGAGAGCTATGGAGCGCATGGAGATGATCTTTGGCCTTGACATGCAGGAAGTGGATCCCATCAACCACCGCTATGTCCTGCTCATCAAATTGGGCCTCACCTATGATGGGATGATGAGTGGTGAAGAGGGCGTGCCCAAGACCGGCATCCTGATTCTCATCCTGGGTGTGATCTTCATGAAGGGTAACCGTGCCACTGAAGAAGAAGTTTGGGAAGTTCTGAATTTGACCGGCGTTTACCCTGGAGTGAGGCACTTCATCTTTGGGGAGCCCAGACAGCTCATCACTGAAGATTTTGTGAAGGAAAATTACCTGGTGTACCAGCAGGTGGCCAACAATGTTCCTGCAAAATTTGAATTCCTGTGGGGCCCACGAGCTCATGCAGAAACCACCAAGATGAAAGTCCTGGAATTTGTGGCCAAGGTTCATGGGACTGACCCAAGTTCTTTCCCTTCTCAATATGAGGAGGCCTTGCAGGATGAAGAAAAGAGAACCTGAGGTAGAACTTCAGCCAGGGCAGCTTCTCTGTGGCCACTGCTGTCTCTAGTGCCAAGTGTTAAGAGCATCATCTCCTGCAATGAGACAAGTCAGGAATTTTTTTTCTTCATACATTGTTTTAAAAAACTGTTCATAGAAATTAGGCCTGAATTGAGGCTAAAAGGCACAAAATAAATAAGCCTATGTGTTCCTATGTTGTATTTGGTGGAACTTGAAATTTTATTCTTTTATTTTTTGAAGTATATATTGTTGAAATGTTTCTCTTAATAATACATATTTCATTTGCATCAAAATCTCCTGGTTTGTGAATGAAATTGGTTACATATTTATTGCAGTGGTGAAGTTAATTGTAAAAGCATTGTTGTTTTGTAAAACAAATTCTGAACATGTATCTTATTTTGTCATCTGGAATACATAACATAACATTACTACAAACATTTATTGGAAAGATGAAAGAAATCAGCTTTAAAATAGTTAGGTACAAGAAATAAGAAGAAATAAAACATTGTTACATTGTGGTTCTCTTATACCTTTTAGTGTGTTTCATAAAATTAAATTGAACTGTGTGAACTTTCCTTAACTTATTTTTAAACATGTGCAAAATAAACTCAATATAGTATACACTGTGTTTTCATAGTGTCTCTTAATTGTCTGCACTGAAAATTTACTCTTTAGAAATCACTGCATTACTCCTGGAGGCTCTGGGTTAGACAACAACTAGGACCTTCCATTATAATTTTTTCTTTTTTCCTTTTTTTAAATATTTGTTTAGTTATATATGCATACAAGAACTGGGGCACAGACCTGTATTTTTTTCTTATTTATTTATTTGTTTGTTTATTTATTTATTTATACAAGCACTGGGTACAATCAGAAGCGCGGGAGGGTGAGAGAAGTCACCAGAGCCAGAGCCGGGAACAGAGCAGGCAGACTGACGAAGTATGCTGCTGAGGGGAGCAGCGGGCAGCAGGAGAGGTCTGCGCGCCCTGTGGTACCCTCACCTGGTGGCCAGGGATCGAACCCGCACTGCAGAGGCTGCGGGCAGCTTCGCAACCCAGCGCTCAACCGCTGCGCCACCGGGGAAGCCCTATATTTTTTTCTCATGCATGTGGCAGTGCTTTTTCACTGGGATATCTTGGGATATCTAAAGGGTCTGTATTCAGAATAATTGCATTAATAACTATGAGTCATTAAAGACCTAAGGTATGCCAGGCACTGTGCTAGGTGCTATACAAACACTGCACTCTTTCTAAGAGTCCAATAAAACACGGCTTACCAGATTCACTCTTAAGATTAGGTTCATAAAGCTTGGGAATGTGCCCAACTGCACAGCTCTGGTATGTTGACAAAACCAAGACTAGGCTCCTGCCCTGAGTTCTTCTAGATCCCACTCTGTTGCACTCCTCCAGTCTGAAGCTTATCTTCTGTCTCATTCATTTCTCTTCCCACTACTCCATAATGCCTCCTGGGATAAAAAGGATTATGGAACCAAACACTAAAAGTACATGAAAAAGAAACAAGGCAAGAGGAGACAGCAATGCCTGCATGGCGCTGGCAAAGCTGGGTGCCCCCCAGCAAGGAGGAGGCTGTAGCAATAGCTGTGTGCCCCCAGGCTGCAGGTAGGAGTCTCATAGGAAACCCAGCTGAGCTCTGCAGAGCTGGCCCAGAAGTCCTCATGCAAAGAACAGGACCAGCATGGCCGTGGTGCCTGTTTGACCAGAGCCCAGCTCCTCCAGGTCACAGTAACTTGGTGAGGTGAAAGGGCTCTGAACTAGACAGTCCCCAAACTGGTCACTCCCACCTGAAGTGCACCTAGTAGAGGCTTGGTCCCAGGATTAGAGGCAGGGAGAACCACAGACCCACAGGTAGAACCAGAGTGGTGACCTGCCCAGGGTCCTTACAAATTGGGAGCCCAGGGGCCTCCCCAGTGGCGCAACGGTTGAGCGCTGGGCTGCGAAGCTGCCTGCAGCCTCTGCAGCACTGGTTCGATCCCTGGCAGCTGGTGAGGGTCCCACATGGTGCGCAGAGCTCTCCTGCTGCGCCTGCTGCTCCCCTCAGCAGTGTACTTCATCAGTCTGCCTGTTCTGTTCCCCGCTCTGTCTCTGGTGAATTCTCTCACCCTCCTGCGCTTCTGACCCTACCCAGTGCTTGTATAAATAAATAAATCTTAAAAAAAAAAAAAAGAAATTGGGAGCCCAAACTGTGAAACCCTGGGCGAGTTTGGTTCCCAATTTCTAAGACTTCTAACCTTTTACTTAAATGTTAGAATCATGTACACATATGTATAAACACATGTATATTATATGTGTATATTTATGTATATATAGACATGTTACATTTTTTTATCCATTCAACAGTGGACACACTAAGTTGTTTCTGTGTCTTCACTATCATAAATAATGCTGTAATAAACATGACAATGCAGACATCTTTTCAGTTAGCGTTTTTATTTTCTTCAGATAAATACCTTGAAGGAGTTGTTGAATCATATAATAGTTCTATTTTTGTTTTTATGAGGAACTTAATCTGTACTCTGAGCTGCCACTTAGATGAGATGAAAGCAAACCTATTTACCTCCTACTCTTATATTGATTTTTCTTCCTCAAATGACTTCTGTGTAATCTTCACATGTCAAAATCCCACCAACGCTCATTTCAGATATTTCCTTTTGCAGACAGCTCTCTCTTCAGTCTATAGTTCTTTGCTTCTACCCTTTTAGCATTAATTGTATTTTCTGTATATTATATTTTCCAGGTAAATACTTCATCCCTGATCTCCTTTTTTCTGATAAGGATGTTTGGGGACAGAGATAAACATTCATTTCCCAAGATCCTGCAAGACTATGGATAATTCCTTGCATGTGGATGGTTTTAATATGTTGAAATATATGATACTAAAAATATACTAGAAGATTGGGTGATAAATACCCTGTATTTCAAAAGGAAAATAGACAGCTTTTTGTCAGAAGAGTTGGAGGTGAAAATTAGAAGGCATGGGGACATAAAGTTGGAGACCATCACTTCACCTGCCAAACTGGAAGTGTAGCTAAAACAATTGTACTGGAGTGTATGTGAAGAAAATAAGAGGTGGGGAGAGAATGATATAGCAATGGTAGACGTGTAGGTTGTGCTTGGTTTCTTAGAACTCACCAGTGTCCAAGAGTTCTTGAGTTTTCTCTCATTAAAACTGCATTCAAAAAAGGTAAACACATGCAATTTGCAGCAACATGGATGGCGCTGGAAGGGATCATGCTCAGCGAAATAAGCCAGAAAGAAAAAGAAAAATACCGGATGGTCTCACTCATAGCAGGAATCTAGAAAACTCAAATAAGGGACCAGGAAAATGAATAACTATAAGAAAGTGAAAATCAAAATCAACAAAAAACTATGAACCAGATACACTTTTTTGGGGGGTGGGGGGGCAGGAGGGGAGGGATTGGGGTCAGAATGGGGGAGTTGCAATTGTATGGGGAATATAAAAATAAAATTTATTATTAAAAAAAAAAAAACTGCTCTTTCTGGGCCTACCTGATGGCGCAGGGGATTGGGACGCAACCAATGAAGCTATCTGCAGCCACTGCAACACGAGTTCGATCCCCGGCCAGGGAGCTACCCACATGGTGCAGCAGACCCCTCCTGACTTGCCCACTGCTCTCCTCAGCAGTGTATTTTGGTTGATCTGCCTGTTCTGTTCCCCATTCTGTCTGGTGAATCCTCTCACCCCCACACTTCTAGCCTGTACCCAGTTCGTGTATGCATAAATAAATAAATCTTTATTAAAAAAAACTTGATCTTTCTAAGCAGCTAGATCTTGGCATACAGTTCTAATCCCAGCTGTTTTAAGAAAAAATACATTTCAGTCCTAAAAAAGTCTGTTGAAATGGATGCTTCTAGGGAATTAGAGTTCTGACTTCAAGTATCTACTTTACTTAAGTACTGCATGGTCTCAGTTTATTTAATAAGAATGCCAATGAACACTTCATTCCAACATAACATTTAAATTCTTTCTCCTACAATTATTCTAATAAGAAAAAAAATAATAGCTTCCCCTCCTGCCATGAAATTTGGAACATGACCACAACTTAAGGGAGATTATCAAGTAAAAAGCCAACAATGATACTAGTGACTGACTGGGGATAAGGAAGGGGGGCAGGGTCAGAGACAGAAGAATAGGGGGGCTGGGAAGGAGAAAGACTATGTGTGAGAAAGTGAAATGGAGAATCTGTGTGTGAGAGAGAGCGAGATAATGTTCCAGCTGTCTTTTTGTCAAAAACAGACAAGTTGATCTTCAAATTTCTACAGGCTCACCTATAGAAATTAGTCTTGAATTGGTAATAGGAGTACTAAGTAACACTTATTTCAAAATAACATTTAAACCCTTCTTCCTACAGTTCTTTCATTTTTTTAAGATTTATTTATTTATACAAGAACTGGTGTACAGGCCAGAGGAACAGGAGGGTGAGAGAATTCACCAGAGACAGAGGGGGGAGCAGAACAGGCAGACAAACTGAGGACACTGCTGAGGGGAGCAGTGAGTGAGGCAGGAGAGGTCTGCTGCACCATGTGGGTATCTCCCTGGCCGGCTGGGAATCGAATTCGTGCTGCACAGGCTGTGGACAGCTTCACAGTGCTGCGCTCAACCTGCTGTGCCAACGGGGAGGCCCTCCTCCTACAATTCTAATAAGAATATTCTAATAAGGAATTTCTCTGTCATTATCTCTCTTGCAAATGAGCGATAAACAGAATGAGAGAGACAGACAGACAGATCATAGGGGAAAGGAATGGGGAAAAGAATGGAAAAGAGAATAGGGATAAAATAGAAAGGGAGAGAAAGAATATGCTGCCACATGTTGGGGGGAAAGCGGTTATTAGTGGTTTTATGTGCACAGCATTGTGATGCTAAGTTTCTTACAGAGGAGATTGCCAAGTAGTAAGCCCAGAAATTTTAATTTAAGCCATTTTGGGTAATGCCTTACAATTGGCGTTTTAACAAGATTTCTTAGATGACACTATGCCTGTGGTTTGCAATGCATAGTTTGAATAAAATTACTATAGGTTCTAACCTTATTCTAATCCTCACGTCAGTACTTACTAAAGCCTCAAGGCATATAGAAATAACAAGAGTCATTCTGTTTACATGAGGGTACATCATAGACTTAATTTTTTAAGCTGGACTCTACTAATATACTGTTGTCATATCTTAAAAACTCCTTTTATTTGTGTGCTCTGAATTGCCATTTGTAATTTTTCCAAAG